GGCTCACAGATACAGAGGGGCACACAGGGGGTAAAAGTCACAAGGGGGAAATCAAATAAGGAACAACTTAACAGAGCAACCCAGGAACCGTGGCCAGAATAAAGAACAAAATACAAAAATACATGAAAACTAAGAATGCTGGGCCAACATGGCCCAGGATCATGACAACTGCAGTTGGTTGCAAGAGATACAGAAGCTTTGACGATGAATTTCAATATCAACATGTTCTCGCTGAACATAAACACTGAAAGCATGGACAGAGTGTTCATGTCTTTAGAACTGGACTCGATTTTTCATGTTTATCACAATCTCACAGTATCCTGTCAGGTCTCTTATTCTCTGAGTATTGTTCATTATGACATCTCCTGTCTTTGATTTTATTTACATTTTATTTTAAAAGGGAGAAGTGCGAATATTGAAAATAAAACTGGACAACTTTAGTTGCTCCTTAATTAATTTTTAATTTTCCAGTGATTTTTGTTAATCCTGATTGTGGATTAGAAATATCATCATAACTGCTGTTAACTATTTGCTTGGGAGTTGACAGCATTAATAATTCTTGATATTATAGTTTAATTTAGTGTGATTTGATGCTCTTGACATGTTTTTATGGTCTCTGACAAAATCTGAATCAGTGGTAAAAAGACCTGGAAAATATCTAGAATGAACCTGTACATGCTCCAGATTCACATTCATCAGCTATAATATGAACTGATACACACTGGCACTGCTGATAGTCCCAGTTCATCCAGGGTAGGTCCATCATCTCCAGAGATGACTCCAACAGTTTGTCTGCTGGAGTAAAATCTATTTTTTTGGTAATATTAAGCTTGATAAATGAAACAGATGTTAAGTGGCATTTAGCAGAAACCTCACTATCCTTTTATGAATATTTACATATGACAGTAAACAATCCTCCTTCAAGAAATTTAGTTCAAAAACTCAGCCGATCAAAATGATATTCGCATTAATCACCTGCAGTTCAATCTCTTTGACAATCTCTTTGGAGACAGACTAATAGAAAGATTTATGTGCATGCTGAACAGAATTAATTTTTATTTACTTTGCTCATACTTTACAGTAAAATGAACAATAATCATAAACACAGAAACTCTGATGCTTAAACAAATGTTTCAACACAATGTACTTTTCTAAATGCGTATCAAGAAGGATTTTATGATCAAAGAAAAA